TGGGGATCGAACTCGGGTCTTTGCGCTTGTGTAGCAGGCGGCGAAACCACTGAGCTAAATCCCCAGCCCGACATGAATTACTTTTAAAAATACAAAATCTTCTGCTTCAAAATTAACTGCTTATTTACCTGCAAAATTAAATTATTAAAGGTCAAAATACCAGTTATTTGAAGAACAGTGCTCTTTTTAACATGCAATACCTCATGTATTAGAAAAGTAATTATTATTTCAATTTTACATATGATTTTAAGAGTTTAAGTTCACAGCTAATGTATCAGATCTACCTAAAATAAAATTCTATATTCTTAACTGTTACAGTACATGCAAAACATTGTTTTTTTCACATATTTCCAGATTATTACAGGTAATAATGCTGATACTTTGGAAATATTTTAGAAAACATGTTCCAGAAACCAGAGCTCATTCATCTGAACATTATGTGCTGCCCAGCTGCTCTGAATTACTCTGCACTTACAAAGAATCTGAGCAGCATTTTGAGATTAGGTATTTACATAATATAGATGGGCCAACATTGAATTAATTTATCCATGTTTTATTATGCTCTCAAGAGCTAAAAACATTTTCTCCAATAGGGAGTGACCTGGAGTCTGTGCTTGTATGTTAAATTTTGTTTGGGAGAATGCACACCTGTGTGTGTGTTATTCTTTGAGAAGCACTAATGTTATCAGTGTCACATAACTTCTAAAGCATCTGTTCTTTCACCAAGGAAAATGTCTAACGCATACCTTACTCTAGTATACAGTAAACTATAACTTTCTTTTGCTAAAACTACTATTCTGAGTATAAAACATGCCTGTCTTTTCCCTGGATAGTTGTTATGCTACATAACGCTCTTAAGAACACATATAATCTGGGCCGGTGATTTAGCTCAGTGGCACCATACCTGGCTTGCAAGCACAAGGTCCTGAATTCAATCCCTGGTACCAAAAAAAAAAAAAATACATATAATCCTTACTCTTTCACCAAACAAGAACATTCAGGGTCTAGAAAGGTCATTTGATGAAGACAGCTGAGAAACTAGAGTGAGTCATACTTTGAAGAAGTCATAATTATGTTTCAGCGAGAGTAAACAACTTGGTTAAGAGTGCCAGAGTTTGGTGGTAGAAAAAAGAAGCAAGAACATGTTATGGAAAGAATCTATAAATTATCTGTAAAGAAAATAAGAGAAAGACAAAAAATAAATTTGAGAATTAATTTTAAGAGGTAGATGTATTAAAATATAATGCGTTGAAATGACTATTTACCTGTAACAAGTGATATATAACATTTTCTCTTTTCTATGCTTCAGATAAATATCTGCCATTTTTTCTTTGGCCTCTATAAAATAAGCCTGCTCAGCTGTAACATTTCGAAGAATGCTTAAAGCCCTCTCTACATCTCCTTGGGCCAGAGCTAGGTTTGCATTAGCAATAGTAACACGTAATTCTTCAGATGTTCCAGCAAACTCATGGATGGCATCTTGTAAAACCTTTGCTGCCTCATGCTGTAAAGATGAAATTAAAATGTTTTTTCAAAGCATTCAACAGTTTATACTAGAAAGAATGACACTATTATAAAACAAAATGAATAAAAAATGCTGGTACAGTTATGGTGTTTATAAAATAGACAGACCTTCTGAAATGTACAAATACTTAAAACTAATCTCAAAGACAGAGATTAGTTTCAAACGAGGCTATATTTGTTAGTTGGATAAATGCTTTTACAACTAGGTCATGGCAGTTGCTACACATAATCACCACCATTATAACTTAATAAACATTTATTTGGTATGATGCATTGGTATGCAGCATTACCCTACATAGTTTGCACGCAGCCCTCTAAAATAGTTATTATCCTTGCATTCTGCTAAGAACACTGAGATGTAGCAAGTTGAAAGATTAACAAGTGATCGAACCAGAATCAAACCTGGCCATCAAACTTGATGGGATCGAGGCAACAGGCACCCAGTGCTCACATGAAGTTGTCATTTATTAACAGATTATTTTATCCTATCCATCAGAAAAACATCTTCGTTATACTTCAGGTGAATATTTTACCTCATTTAAGATTCATTTCAACTCTAGAGACTATTAAGACTTTCTGAATTCAGAAATATTAAAATGCGAAAAAGTGGATTTCAGATACTTCTTCAATTATTTATAAAGTGTCTAACTTCATGGTATTTCTTTATCACAGCTATATTTATCAATTATTTCTTTTGTTTTTTCAAGTACCAGAATTTCAGGTTAATATGGACACATTCATTTTTTTCTAGTAAAATTTGTGTGTACATGAGAATGTATGTATGTGTGCAATCCTTTTAGGAATTCATAGGATTATGACTCCTTTACATTATTACCATTGTGGTATAATCATACCTTATAGTATTACATTTTATGGTAGCCAACATAAGCACATTGAGACTTAGTCATCCAGAAACAAATTATGTTTAACTTTCAGGGGCTTACAGAAAAAAAGCACATTTTATTGCAAAATAATGAGTAATATATTTCCTACACTTTACCAGTTGATCAAGGGAGTCATTTTCATGTTTTCATTTTCTAATACTTGAACAGCCAAGCTCAGCTCTGAGTCACTGAATTAAAACTGAATTTACCTGCTCTCCATTTAAGCGATGAACCTCCACCAACTCAAGAAAGATGGATAAACGATGGCTGGTGTCAACTTCAGTTTTTCTGTATTTTGATTTTGAAGAAGCTCCAGTTCTCCTCACCCCTGGTAAATTCATTGCCATATGCAGAGTCTTAATTGCTTCTGTTATTTCTCCCAGTTTCTTTTGTGACTGAGCTTTTATTAAATGATATAAAGGATATTCTCTCACCTGAAAAAATTATATTTAAGTCATACACGTTTGGAATGCCAATAATATTAACATCCATCAAACGTTAAAATAACAGATTGTTAAGGATAGTCCATTTGTGGCTGTATACGTGAAGTCTGTTTCTTTCCTCTTAGTGACATCCGAGTCATTTATCACATTAAATCAGTTCAGGGAAATGACCACTGCCTAGCATCCTCCCGGATGACAAAGAGGTCACCTGGGTGTTTCCACCATGACAGAAGAGAAACTGCAAGCATCTTTATAAGCCTGACAAATACATTCTTAAAAAATTATTTGAATTTTCAGGAAAGATATTTCTTATGTGGGACTTCTAGTACAGATATAGTTCTTAGATTTCTAAAAACACAGTTCTCCTTTATTTGTAACACTTTATTTGTAGCACTTCAGGGAAGTTTCATCAAATATTTTCTTTACCTTTTGATGCTAACTCTATCGGTGTAGTAATGAATCCTTTATTTTGGCTATCAACAGTGTCTACAGAAAACATAAGAGAATGACAAACTGAGTGGGAAAAAGAAGCCCAAGGGAAGATGATGATCCAATGCAGAGCAAGAGCAGCCGCCAGTCCTCCTCAGGCCCCACATTCACCTGCGTAGCTCTGTGTGAACACACGTTGAGCTCCCAGAGGTCCACAAGCACTGGGCATCGCTTGTGGTTCTCCAGCACTGGGTTAGAATGAGCCACTAGTGGTGAGATCCACTGTCCTGTGATGCAGGTGATAATTTCTGCCAGTGTTGCTTAGAACTTCAACATCTAATTCACTTAAGGGTTCACCCATGTCAGGGTTCTGATATTGTGAAGCAAAACTAAAGTTTGAGCAGCTATGACCTGAACTTGTTCAGGAAGCTCCTGAGCCTAGGGTTTTCCCTAATGGTGAGAGAAAATATCCAAAATATCTCAGATAGAAATATAGTGTGTTTATATCCTCAAACCACGTAACTTTCAAAATGACTAAGTGTTCTGGGACAATGGATATAAAAAGAAGTTATTAGGGCTGGGAATTTAGCTCAGTGGCACCACTCCTGCCTTACAGAGCAATGTCCTTAGTTCAATCCCCAGTACTGGGAAAAAAAAAATTATTAAAAATAATGATGCAAGAAAGAAATGGACAACAAAATTTATTCTTTTATGTAAAATATTAGGAATAATAATTCTCAATGATTTAATGTTATTTTTATATACATTCTTTAACTCTCATTATAACTGTGGAGTATCATCCTATATATTTTATGGAAAACTGATGCTCCCACAGAAATAAGTGGAAAGACCAGACATTTGTCCCAGATCTTTTGTTGCCCGGTTCATTCATTCATTTACTCATTTAGAGACATGGTCTCCTTATTTTGCCAGCATGAACTCTATCTCCTCAGCCCAAGTGAATCTTTTGCCTCAGACTTCTAAAGTGCCTGGGACTAAAAACATGAACCACTGCAACCAACAAATTAGGATTTTTTTCTTTTTTTCTGCTAGTTCATCTAGTTTTTTAATTATACCAAAGGTACTTTCATGTTTTTTCCTCCTACTGCTTGTGAGTTCAAAATTCTTTCTGTGAAAAAATACACTAATTAGCAAAATACTACAGGCCAAGGTATGAAATAATTGAATGCATAAGCATTCACTAACGGATGAAGCAGGGTGACACGTCAGTTACTTGAGTCTGAAATACTTACATTAAAATTATAGCTCAGGCAAAATTCAAGAGACTGAGAACACAATTTGAATTTTTCTTGAGACAAATAAACCTGAGCCATCAGGAGATGAGCATCTGCATAAGAGGGATCATGATCCAGGCAATGCTGCAGGTTACTATATGCTGCTTCAATATTACCTAAAGAGGAAACAGTTACACATCAGATGACCCAGAGAAGTGTTTCTTGTTTATGGATTGTTCTAGTGTTTAAATGTGAACTCCTCTGCTCAAAAGGTCATGTAACTATTCTTCATATATATGGAGTGCATAACTTATTTATACCTGTTTTTCAACATCAGGGTCTAAGGTTATTTTAAGTTTTTAAGGCATACTCTACATGACAAATACTTCACTTCTGCTCTTAGGAATGGTTTTGTTCCTACCTGGATTAGTTAGCTTCCTTCTAGTCTACATGAAGAACAGAACTCTAAGTCTGGGGCCCTTGATTATAATTAGCAAACCAGGGGAAGCATGAGCAGACGAGAGTCAATCACACCAGTGTTACTGATAGCCCTATAAATGCACTTTTATTTATTTTCCTTGTCAAGAAAAAGTTTTATTTATAATTTCATTAAAGTAGGTTGCGTGAGACGTAGACACTTACTGTATATAGCTAGAATTCTGTAGTGTCATTTACATTACTAGAGAGGATATAGTCTAATAATCATTCTTAACCCAGGAAATTTTATTATTATACATTAAATAACCAAAAAGACACAAGAACACATTCTAGAGATTCATATGTATGAGCTAAAGATTTTAAATGCCTTTAATTACCAGCTGAAATATTAAATATTTTAGGAAACATCAGCTACTTTTCTGTGAGTCTAAAATAAAAGGAAATAGTTAAGATTAATGTGACAAGAATGGTGGAGCTGATTTTGGGCTGGTAAAAGGGGCAGCAGGAGGAGGCTCTTCACAGAATTATTATCTCAGATTCTCTGTCCTACAAGTTTCTCATGATGTTTACTCCCATGATCGACCTTCAGCCCTCTCATAAATTAAGTAAATGCATGTACATGCATGTAAGTGCATTAAGTAAGTGCATGTATGTCCACTCCCCATTCAACCTTGCTAAGTGATGTGGGAAAAAGGAGGTCCTAAATTATGCTCAATTCAATTACATTTCTTAACCTTCCTTGATGTCACAACAGAAACAATAAAACCTGAACTCAGAGCTTTTTGGTTCCCAAGGGCTCAAACTACTGATAAGAAAAATCCATTGAAAGAGAAACTGCATTTTCTAAGAGATGGAGGGTTTATAGAAAAATAATTGGCTGAGAAATCAGAATAACTTAGTAAACAGAATGTTAAAGTTTAATCATTAATCATCAAGCATAATAATAGTGGAGTCTTTTACTATGATGCAGCACTTAGAATTGTGCAAGCAAAAAAATGAAAAGTTTAAATATAATAAATTTGAGTGTATGAAAGATGTCAGAATCAAAACGGAGTTGCTTGTGTCCAGTCTTAACCAAAATATAACAATAATAAAATTATATTAATATCAATAACAAATATTAATAATTAAAGAGGGCTATGGAAGGCCCTCCTGCAATATGGCTATGATAAACACCCCCTGAAAGGTCCTCATAACAGAAACTACAAGGGTGAAATAAGCTTTTGAGACCATCTGTGTGGTTTTTTTAAAAACAGTTAAACTGAAGTTCAAAAAATAGTAAAGGCAATTTCTTAACTCCATTATATGCAAGAATAATTATTTATGAGAATTCCTTTAAGTTGGTATTTTCAGTTGTTTAAAATATTTATTTTTAAAGAAATTACAAACTATAAAATTTTTATCTTCAAGAACCATAAAGACTCTTAGCTCTATAAAAGAATTAAAATTAAATAGGAAACTACTGTAGCTGACTTTCCAAACTTAGTTTACTTTCCACAGCATTCAGCTAAATGGTACAGCATGAGATGACAGTCTGTTTTACATGTAAAGCCATAAATGTGTACTGTGTCCTGAAAAGCTAAGTTTGCAACCAGGTTTATATTCTTCAGCCATTACAACCTTTCACAGGAGCTAAATAAGAATTAATTGGTACAGTTCACAAGAATCTGAAACCCAACAAACACTGTATTTAAGTCAACAAATGTAGATTAAAGCCTTCAAAGTTTTATTATTAGTCCCAAGTACAGAGAAGACTTTATTTTTAAGTGATATAACTATATTTTCCCAGAAACTCACTTGTGCTACAAAGTTTATAGTAAGATTTCAAGAATTAAATAGTATGTTTTGCAATTTTATTTCAGATTAAAGTCGCTTATCTATTCACATACAAAATGTGCATCTTATGTAACTATTCTTCATATGTATGGAGTACATAACTTATTTATACCTGTTTTATCAACATTAGGGTCCAAGGTTATTTTAAGTTTTTAAGGCATACTCTACCTGACAAATACTTCACTTTTGCTATTAGGAAGACAGCCTGCAGAAGACCTGGTACGGTTCTCACTATGGTTTCTAGGACCAACATACAACGTCTGAGGAATGGAGTAAGTGGTTGCCCAGGACTTGCAGGCTAAAAAAAGCAAATTAGAAGATCATTTTATAAATTTACAATAGTATTAAGGAAAAATTAAACACACTAATTTTAATGTGACTTTCAAAGCTATGTTTTTCTGAAATTTATCATTTTATTTCATATCACCTTTACTATGACTGGAATAACACTAAATTATCTCCCTGGGAAACCAATGGATAGAGTATTCAAATCATGGCTTTTGTTCAGTGAAATAATTATGAAATTAGTATAAAATTATGCATTTTAAAGTATGAAAGGGGCATATCTATTAAAATATTTTATCAAAGAAACATCTGTTCAAGGGGAACATAACAGAGGTAATTTCTCATTAGAATTGAGAGTTAAAGCAATGAGTGTTCACTGCCCTTCTAGACCTGCCCTATGACTTATTAGATTCAATTACTTAATGCCCTAGAGTGCTATCAGGTCAATTCCTAAAGACTTTAGTTTTTCCCTGGTAGTGATTAGAAGGTAGAACACTCAGGCATACTAAGCCAAATGCCTCATACCTTCACCTGCCCCACTTTTTATCACACATGTTATAGACCCTCAAAGTCTTATTTTCTTTTCATTAATAGTGACTATGATGACTAAAGCAAAACTAAAGCACTACTGTTCTCTTTTGATTTTTCTTATTCTTATAATGGCCATCCGACCCAACTGATCTTTAGCCAACTGCTATTTCTTTGATATGAAGGATGGTTCTCCCATCCCAACCTTAACCTGACAGTCTTAACTGGAATATATCCTTATTTAAAATCACTCCTAGGGCCGGGGATTTAGCTCAGTGGTTTCGCCAACTGCTGCGCAAGCGCAAGGACCTGAGTTAGATCCCCGGTACCAAAAAAATAAAATAAAATAAAATAAAATCACTCTTATGATCCATTGTTACTGACAAGAAAGCGACATACCTCTTTACCTATGATGAACCGTAAAATGTGTGCTCAGAAATATATTCAAAATATTACTACCTTTGCCTAAAACATTTCAACTTCTTCAAATTTCTTCACCCCTTATAATTATTCTATAATTGTGTCCTATTGATTTTTGCTTTTTCAGAAATAATGGTCTTTCCATATCTTAAAGGGCAGAATTTGTTACTTTTTGCATAGTAATAGATACAAAGTAAATGCTTTATACTGTATTTTTCTCAGCAGAACTGAAGACAGTGAAAGTATAAATGATGGTTAAGGTTCTGATAATGTTCTTTGCCACCTGCTAGGAATGAGAACTATCATTTTTCTATGAACAGTTTCCACATGTAATGATAAAAACCAGAGGTATGTAGACAATACTTAAGATTACATTTATTTAATTAAAATTTAAAGGAAAACTATCTCTACATAAAATAGGAACAGAGCTGAAAAGAAAATTCAGTACACTAGTATTTCCCCCATGAAAATAGCATTATAACTGGGCACTAGGGTACAGTATGCTGATAAACAGGTATGGGGAAAATGATGAGCAGTTGGATTACAGACCCACAATACATTATTTCTTACCCTTCCTATGGTTTATTCTCAGTACAGCTGCCAGAGAAATCCTTTAAAAATGCTAGCTTCCATCATGCTGAAAGCCCTCTGCTGACTCCCCACAGTGTGCAGGAGTATAAAGTGAGAGGTGATTCAACATGTCATTGCCCTACCTGGTCTAATCACTTGTGCAATGGCCTCATCTCTGACTACTCCTCACCTTATCACTCTGTACCAGTGTTACTGACCCCTTTCTATCCTTCTGGGTTTATGCACTGACTATTCCCTTTGTCTGAAGCAAGGTATCTTCACATACGCCCTTAAGGTCTTTGTTCAAATCTTACCCTTTCAAAGGCTACCCTGATCACTTTACCTAAAATTTTCACCCCTACCTTCATCTATTATCTTCTTCTGTCATCTTGAATACTTTATTTAACCATAAGTACATTATCTGTATCCTACTGCTAGAATATATATGCCTTGTAGGCAAGGGTTGTAGTTGGGTTTTTTTTTCCACACAAGTATTTCCCTAGCTCAGGGAAGAGTGCTGGGTACTCTGTAAACATTTACAGAATGAATCTAGGATGCTGAATGAAAACTGAAAAATGCATTCCAACTTCCAAGCAACTGAAAATGGATCATGACTGTGAAAGCTGAGATCAGTCCCACGTATGATTCTGTGAAGGTCTGGTTTATAAAGAATAGCTATGAGAGTCTGGGAAAAGACATGAAAATGAAAAGCAGGATGATTTCCCTAAGGGCAAGCCATTTTCCTAATTTCTCTTGTTTATGTAGTTTCTGAAGCTCTCGATCAGAACGAATACTAACAACTTTGCTGCTTGATAGTGACCCTCTTGATATTCCTCTTTTTGAAATGTGAGCTGGTATAATAAAGTTAGGTCACTTATATCTGATTTCTGTCTGTAATAAAAAGGTGCTGACTCCTGGATCCCTTTCAGTTTGAAAAGAACTACCTGGTAGAATAACACGGGATTTCATTTTCAGTTCTACTCAAAATTGTTAATGCTTGGATAGGACCATCATGACTGTCTTAGAGCTAGATAAAGCAGATGGCACATGAAGTTAAGGTTCCATTTAAAATAGATGACAAGATCCAAAAAGAGTATGATAATCTGGAGTTACAGGATGAATTTGAGAAGATAGTTTCATAAGAGTAAATGTAGATTCCCACACTTGAGTCCAAAGGTATAAATAACAGATCTACCATCTCTGCTTAAATGTCAGTGTATCAGGGGTTAATAATGTAATGTGATTCACAAAAACAAAAAGTACAACCCTAGATGCACATCCAGAAAAAGAGAGGAAAAGTCTACTTTAGGTCTTGCAAGTTAAACCTATATTTAGAATAATGAATTTAATGAGGCAAAGACAAAAAAAGGATATTCTCAGTTCAAAACCAGAGTTGTTAAAACTATGTCAATACAAAAAATTAATTGTTGCAAACATGAAATTTTTTAAGGTAGCAGGAAAATTGATTTCCAAAAACTGAAAATTTTTTTATAAATGAGAAATGAACCTTGTTTAGAGTTAAGTACTGGACTTTCTGTCACTACAACAAACCGAAAGAGGACCACTAACTGGTCATATTTTAGCAAAAAGCAGAGGTGAACTTAGCACAGGAAATTCAGTTCAATCACTACAGTTATATAATAAACATTCCATTTTTAAGTGTGCTCAGGTTAGGTAGTACCTAATGATATTACAAATTAGATTCAAATAAACCGGGTGCCAGAAGTACATGACTTCTAATAGTTCTCCTAACTTGAAGATCTTAAGGTATTAAAAACTATAAGTATGTACAAACCAGTATTTTTATTAATTGGTAGCAGTCATATTATTATAAACATTCTGATTTAAAAGTACTTCAAATAACAAATTATATTGTAGTGCCATATTTTAGATTGTATATTAATGGTCTGACTTGATTTTTGCCCAATGTTATAGATTGGTATTGCTTACTTTATTTCACAGATAAACCTATTGGCTGTCTATATTGTGACTATTAATAAATAGTGATTCATATCCACAAAAAACTACTTCAACTAATACAGTTATAAAGACTACCATTTTAGGATACTGATATAATTTAACACATTAAATATAACTTGTTAGCATCTTTTATAAAGCATACAAATGCATCCTTGAAAATAAGACCCAGAATTACCTACCAGCATCGGACAGAAATTCAAATACTCTGTAATAATTTCTAGCAAGAAATCCGGATTTAATGTCTCAAAATACTGTATGCCAAGAGGTAAATCTTCTAAGTGTGAAAAATGAGTATCTAATACATCATTTAATAAGTGTATAACTTCTTCTTCTTGTTTATTTTTCTTCATAGCAAGAGTTGCATGTAAATAGATTAATTCCTGGAAAATAAAGAGTATTCAGAAGTTATTTCATTCAGTTACAAAGCCACTTATTTTTACTTAGATTTCAAATGCATATAAAGTATTATTTATGTGCAATTATCTGTTCAAAATTAAGTATGAACCTGGAGTAACATTTACATTGAGAAGAACATTTCCGAGTCTAGATTTACATAGGGTAAAATAATAAATACAATAATATTTTTAAAGTTAGCATACATCAGTCCTTTACAGCCACTGCTAAATAAGAATGCTTTGTTAAGTTTCTAGGATCTACCATCTGATTAAATACCTACTGTGGATTTCTCCATGGACTGCTGAACTTCACTGAGGAATTCTAGCTGCTGATCTGCCTCCTGTAACTGCCCATCCATTAACTGACATCGGATGAATCCTAAAATCAAAGAATAAAAATCGTCAAGACTTACACCAGTTCAGGCATGTGCACTTCAAACTAACATGAACAATGCTAATAAATAAAACGTTTCCCCTCACCACAATACTTCAAAGTTTTAGACTAAAACAGTAACAATAAAATGGAAAGGGAAGAAAAAAAAAGAAACAAAGTAAAATGGACCTAAATAAAATCATTTACTCCAAAATTCTAAACTCACAGGAACTACCTCGTAAAAATCTATTCTCTCAAGATTATTTGTGAAATAAAAATTTTATTTTTAAAGACATATGACGTTTTCTGTTGTGGCTAATAGAGAACAGTTTAATTTTAGAAAACTGCAAAATATTTAATTTCCTCTTTAACCACAGGCACTTAAGGCAACTGCTAACTTACATTTCTTTTAGGAACATTTATAGAAACAGGCATCCTACCAACAAGTGCAGAGATACTGGTGTTATCGAGCGTCATGGCAGTCTGATACCATGTCAATGCTTCTTTAACTTTTCCTTGTAAAATCATTTGGTATCCAATTTCTGCAGCAAATTCTGATTGCTGAGGAGTTAATCTAAAAGCCTTTTCTAGCAGTGTTTGAAGTTTTTGAAGAATAAGTTGATTACGTCCACACTAAAAAAGAGAAAAAAACTTTAGCTAGACTGGAAGTCAAGCACATGTACTCAGGGGAGAGGACCACCTTTATTTTTTCTCTAAATATATGTGTTTCTTGCACTTTCCAGGATGGAAGAAAAAGGAATAAAATTATTAAACATGCAAAAATTTCCCCTATTAATCATTTAGATAATGTATCAAGAGTTTCTAACCTATTGGAACATATACACCTCAATGAATAGCACTTGTGCAAAACTGCTGTACATGTACACTTCCAAAGGTGCTATATGTAGAGTTCAACCGTGGTGCAACAGCATGGTTCTCGTAATTGTTTTCATAAACGAGACAGGAAAACCATTAGAGTTTCCAATTCTCTATTTATAATTAAGCAAATATATATAGTTAAATATATAAATAAATTATAAATATAATTAAATTAAAAAATTAGGACTGAGATCTGTTTTCCTGAAAGACAAGGACACGCCATTAGGGAGACTATTTTAAAAGATCGGGTCTTAAATCTTCTTGGAAAAAATTTCAAAAATTTTTTAAGAAATGGCAATGTTGTTAGAGTAAATATAAGACATTTGAAGATAAATTTTAAGAACAAAGTGCTTATTTAAAAGTCTGAACAAATTCAAATAACTTTGGTGAGCTTATTAAAATCAAATGAAAATAATGTATCTCCTTAAAGCTTTTGTAATAAGAGGAATTGTTCTTCAAGTTTCACATGTGTGACAATTTTATTTTTAAATAAGACAATCCAGTTTATTTGTATCATTTAGCAATTAATTTCCTACTTTTTTTTCAGTTTCATGTTTCATTATTTTACTTATTTGCATGTATCTTTCCCCTCATTTTTTTACTAGTTTAATTAACATTCAAACCTCCCATTCCTTGTACTCATTCTGATGACTTTCAATCGTCTCATTCTGATATATTTTTCTATTTCATTCTTTATTAACTCCTTTTATTAGCTACTTACAATTAAAATATTCCTTTATTATTTTAAAAAAACCCAAGATGTTAACTTTTTCCCCTACCAAAATAGTCTCTTACTCACTTTACAACTTTTTTTCAAATAAGTTTAAAAATAAAAGGAAAGAATAATCCTAGTCATAAATCTTATGCTCTGATTAAAAAATATTTTCTATTTCCTTTGTCTGAAAGGCACTTTCCTGTCTTTAAAAGCACAATGAGTATCCCTCCTTGGAGCCTTCTTAAATTTGCAAATCACATCTCCTCTGAGGTGTCTTTCTTAGAAATGTACCACAGTTAGATATATATCATATTTTCACTCCAGGCCATATACTTCTCAGTGCTTTTTTGACTTCTTTTATATGCTCTGTAGATAACAGAGCTCTGATACTTAGTAGGCATTCTTACAGTTCTGCTGAAGGCTATTGTAATCTTATAAAAAAGTTGAGCATTCTGTGGTTCCATGACATCCAATGCATTTCCTAAGTTTTCCAGCTTGGTGGTAGCCTAGAACAAAAGCCATTAGTATTAATTTTTAAATATACTAAAAAAAGGAACATAATATATGCAAATATGCACTAATGCAGTGTACTATTCTTAATATTTTAAGAGACTTTTGCTTTTACAAAGTCTTCCTCTTTCAATTGAATTCTATGTTGTAGGACATTAAAATTATTATAAAAGATCAGTAATGATACATAAAGAATTCTTACATTCCATTCTTTAACATTTGCTGTTAAATAGAAACCCCTGGATGGGTAAAGATGTATATATTAATTAACTATACATACCAAGCTCTCTAATAATTAATTCATGACACAAAGGAGATATGAATAAAATATTTATAATCAGTATTCTATTGCTTATGTAGATTAGGTTATTTTAAGAATGTTTTCTAGAATAGAAAAGGTACTTAGCAAATTTTTTTTCACTGCTGGAACTCATATCCAGAGCCTTACACATGGGAAACATTCTGCCACTAAGCTACATCCCCAGAGCCTAATAAATGTGAGAAAAATTAACTGAAGATTTGCCCTACTAAGATCTTCCAGTGGTTACTAAGGATTAGGCACTGTCATGTTAACCAAGTTAACCAAACAAAACATAATACAGCTCAACCACTTGCTATAATATTATTTGATTCAGATTTGATTTTGGCTGTCCATCATCCAGTATATAGTCAATGTGTTCACTAAAACATTGTAAGGTACAATAGGATTTCATCCTAAGCCTCTTTATTTTACACAAACTCAATTAAATTATGAAAATATTACAAATATTTTGCATATGTACTCTTTTACATCCAGTATCACTGATTTCACTGATCAAATATATTACACTACAGGAGTTTTATATGAAAAAACATATACCATAATTAATGATGTAAGGAATAGTCAAGGGTAATTTTCACCATATAATATTTTTGCTTTACTAGTTGATATGAGAAGCTAAGCTTCTTCTTTAAGGTGAGTTTCTAGTAATTAACTAAAAACTACTGATATACATTCTAAAAGAAAAAATCCAGGTGCTAATGAACATGTGTGTGTGTGTGCCCCTGTTTGTGTGTGGTGAAATACATCTTTAATACAGGAAATGCAACACAATACAACTTACCTTTTCTACATTCCCTTCCCTGCACAGACAGTAAAGAGCCAGCATTCTCAGTGCTTCCACATTTTGATTATCTTGAAACAGCAATCTGCAGGGAAACATTTCAATTAATGATGATATACACTTACATACTTAACTTGAAGGCATGAAAAGTTGGTCTGTTAGTCTGATTATTCCACTGTTCAGATAGTTAGCTTTAATTACTAAAGTGATACCTAATTATTTAAAATTTTAAGTTTCTGAAATTTAATATTTAATATGTTTTTATAAGATGAATGGATTGTAGTAGTCTCATTAAAGCTTGTGACATACCTAACTAAAGTATCAGCTAATCATACACAACAGTGTATTAAATGTTTAATTCACCTTGACTAGTTTAGAACAGAAACTTTGGGAATGCTAAGATGGGCCAAACATTTAAAAATCTGTTAATAGTACTCATAACATTAAAATATGCTATGTTAAAAAAAACACATACTAGAAAATAAAAATACTACTCATAATTGGAACCAAACCAAAAGAAAAAGTACAAATTTAGTAAGAAATGTGCAAAAGCTATGAAAATCTTATGAAGCTTACCTCAAGATTACTTTAAAAATGAACTGAATGAAAAGTGTAACACACCCTGCATTATGTAGCACACTGAATTATCAGTTCTGGTTTTTCATCCCGCCCTGAATAATTGGCTCCTGGCATGTAACTGATACTTTCATCTTCTTAAATGGAGGCTTGGGCAATTTTCTTATATTTGCAACTGAATGCAAGCAGGAGTGGAAAAGCCTATATTTCAGGCTTTTCTCTTGCATCCCTTCTATCTTCAAGAAAATGGTCTTCTCTGGCAGCTCCTGCTCTTTTGCCCAGAGAAGAACACCTTTGGAGAAGACCAGAGCCCGATGGCAATGGGTCTCACACCCACCCAGTTGGATTTGAAACCTGGAGCCTGATTGAGATCATCAGACCCTAGATAACCCACACAAATGTGTGGAATGAATTTTTATTGTCACAGTTCATGAGATATATGACTGTTTGTTTTATACCAATAGCTACCCAATATAATGGTCAGTTCAGTTAAAAAATTTTCCCTAATAATTTATAGATTTAATGCTGCATATTATATAACAGCTTTGCACCTTCTATGAGTACCTACCTTTTAGGGATATGTAGTATTGCCCATGTGCCAGGCATGCTGAGCACTTTGTAACAGTTCATCGTTATTGCTATTGTTATCACAGTACATGGTTTAGGCCATAGTTTTGGGGTTATCCTCAACTAATAACTTCCCCTTACCTTCCTCATTAATTCCTATCCAGATTCCAGTCACTTCTCAAAGTACTTTCACTACAACCATCCTGGTCACTGCCACCAACAACTCTCTTTTAGATTACTGTAAAAGCTCCAAAACAGGTCTCCCTGCTTTTGCCCTGCTCTGACCTACAGTCTCAACACAGTAGTGATTCCTTAAAATATAATTCAGACTCAAAAACCCTGTAACGATTTCACCTTTCATGAGAAAAACCAAAATCCTTACAATGGCCAAGACCCTCGTGACCCGGCAGATCCTCTCCACCCTTCATTTCTGACCTCACCACCAACTCCTCTCCTCTTACTCCTTCCCATTCCCCAAATCTATGACACTGACCTTGCCTCAGGGTCTTCGAACTTGCTCTTCCCTCTTTCCACAGAATCCCAGATGTCTGCATAGCTTCCTCCCTTGCCTTCAAATCTTCGCTCAAAATGCCATCCTCCTTGACCCCTCATAACCACAAATCTCCAACACTCCCAGTTTCACCTTCCTGCAGTATCTTTTCTCCATACAGCTTATAACTGTCTAGTTTAACCCATAATTTTCTCACTTGTTCTTATTAGTACAGTATATGGTTCATCGCACTTCAACATAAGGTTCATGAGGACAGGGATTTTTTTTTTTTTTTGGTTGCCCAGAAGAGTATCTTAGAAGAGGTATTCACATACTTTTGTAAATCAACAAATTCAGTTTTTAAGAAGAATGCAATTTTAACTTGTCCTCAATTCTATGCTATTTAGAAAAAAATCAATTCTATCTGGTTTGGAAAAATTCTATGATGATAAAATCTCATGACAAAAAGTACAGAATTTTTTTGGTCTTGTAATTATAACCAGATCCATAACAGTTTGGTTTGTTTTTGGTACTTAACCTTTGTGCTGTCTCAACCATCTGGTCCCAATCTTGCAAGGCTAGTTGTAATTTCATTTTCTTTATAAAAGCAGGAAGGAAGCTTGGAAAGTTCACAATTATCTGGTTCACAGCTTCCAAAGCACCTGAATAATTCTGGCGCATCTCAAGGCACTGTGCCTAAAGGGAGAAGAAAAAACTGACATGAAACCTGTGATCCTATGTATTAACCTTCTCACTGACCAAGGGAGGAAGTCAGAGTACCTGCTTTATTCTCCTATTGTACTTCCAACTGATCTGCTAAATAGCTTTTTTAACTGTCCATCTCTAGTGGAATATAAACTCTGTAAGACAGAAGGTTTATTTGCTTAGGTCATCACTTAGGGCCTAGGGTGATGCCTGACACACATCAGATACACAATGCTTGTTGAGGAAAGAAAGCTGAATCAACAACAACTAACAAAAATAATCCACGATTCAGAACTTTGGTAAGGAATTCATTTCTCTAGTTGTATCCTACACAAATATAAGTCCCTCTGAGAGATAACAACCGTATCATGAAAAGTATCATCTTTTTTTGAACTACTTGGTTTGTTAAGGTTTCAAATGTTGAATAAATTTAAAACTTGATTTGTTTATCATAACTCCAACTTACCTTACCAAGCAGAGCAAAAATATCCTTTCCATCCTGTAATCCCTCTTCAAAGCACCGTAGCGCTTTTTTAGCATAAGGTTCTTTTCCTCTTGTAATATCAAGCCATGCTTTCAAAATTTGTCCCTGTAAAACAAGCAGTTCCAGTCATATTTCTATTTTTTTGAGATGACAGAAATAACTGTTGACAAAGGAGGTAAACTTAATGTCATTTTTGCGGTTATAACAAAATGGACTCTATAAATAGTGTCCTGAACAATTAAACTCTGTGTAGTAAAACTGCTTTTGAACCCTTGCCAATTTAATTTAGTCTTGGAAATGAGACTATGAATTTCAGAGATTACTACTGAACTCAGTATCAAGAAGTTCACCTAACAGTCCACTAATGTTAAAATCAGTATTCTTCTCTGAGGTTCTGCTAGTAAAATATTTCTAATAATAATTAACATGTAATTCAATTTATAAGTAAGCAGATGTTGTCTATTTCTAGACGAATAGCCTAAATGAGCTAGGATGGAAAACAAAAGATGCCTCATTTTACATTAAAGATTCACATAATTATGCAGCTATCTTAACCTCTCTAATAGTCCAGTGAATTTCAAATGAAAAGATAAATGGCCTGAGAAATTAAAACTTTATGAAGTCATGGTTATTTATCTTTAGAAATGTAAGTGAGCCAGTGAGTTGGAAGGTTTACAGGACTGGAAAGAAGAAACTATACTCTTTTTAACAGCAAATAAAAACCGCAAAATGTGCTCTTTTGTTAAAATTTTTAAATTACCTCATAAATTTATGTGCTTTTAGTTAAGAGTGTATTTACTTCTCTGGTCTTATCTGAAAAGACAGATAACCACCTTAAACAATATTATTCCACTAACTAGAACAATATCATTACTTGAATGGTTTCAACTACTATCTTTGGGTGATTCATACAACCTATAGCTCTAACACAAAACCTTTTCTAAGTGTTTCTTTTTCTAAAGGTTCCCAAGTGATCAACACATTTTGTCAGGACCTGGGCGAATACATCCTGTCTGAAGGTAAATATGCCATCTCTCTCAGGCTAGCTTATCTCGTCTTCTACTGATGTTAACTGGTCTCTGATTATCCAGACAAAAATCTCAGAGGCATCTTTGGTGTGTGATTCTTCCTTGTTTCCCTGGCTATGTATTATCAGCTGACAAGCCCTGACGATATTTAAAAATTCTCAAGTTTAATACTGTATATTTTATAAAATATATATATATATGTATATATATGTTATTGTTGTTGTTTGAGACAGGGTCCCAACAGGCAGTTCAGGTTGTTCTTGAACTTGCTGTGTGGACCAGGCTGGCCCTGAACTCAGAGTGATCCTCCTGTCTCAGCCTCCAGAGTGCTGGGATTACAGGTGTGTGCCACCTGTAATATTATATATTATTTTGTATAATACTGGCTGTGTATAATATTTTAGTGCAGTCCCTCAAACCTTCTATCAGAAAGTGCTACCGTTTTTGTTTCCCCCACATTTCAGCTTCTCTCCAGGTAAATGCACTCCACAAACTATTATCGAATTAATCTTTGGGATATGCATTCTAATAATCACGCCCATGATTAATCATCTTCAAAGATCTTTCAGTGTCTATCAAATTAGATACAAATATTTGTACTTAGCAGACAAGATCCTTCAGTTTGTCCCAATCTACCTCTCGACTTTTCTTCCACTGTCCTTATCCATGTGTCTGGTGTTCCCATCAAATGTAAGGTTCTCTATGTCCTTAGAAAGAACAATTCTCATTTCCACCCATTACTTCCCACTTCAGGAGGATCTACTTCACTTTTCCATAATCTGATGAAATTATATCCATCTTTCAGGGTTTAGCTCAAAAGTTATGTCCTTCAAAACATTCTTCCTCCTAACACAGATGTAATCCCTCTTTTTAACTTAAAGTCTAATAAAAAGTAAGCAAGTAATAAAAATGTTAGCTATAATTTTCCTATGTCCTGTAATCACATATCCCTTATATCATTTTTAATTTTTCTCATAATATAAGGTGGGTATGTGCTCTGTGCCACTACTAGATACTGTAATCCATTCATGAAAGTAAAGTTAATGTACTCTCTCTGTGTATCACCAGCAGTATAAATAACAGTGTCACACATGAAGAGCTGTTCAAGAGAAAGGAAGAAAGGAAAAAGATAAAGGAAGAATAAATGAAGGAGGGAAAAGGGAACAGAAAGAAAAGGCAGGAACCAGGGAAGCATCTTTTCAAGAGTTAAAGTATAAAAATGAGCAACCTGGGCTGGGGATTTAGCTCAGTGGTTCTGGCGACTGCCTCGCAAGCGCAAGGTCCCGAGTTCGATTCCCAGTACCAAAAAAAAAAAAACAACAAAGAAAAGAGCAACCTTAGAGGATCCCTATTTTACAGTAAATATTAAAATAAAGTTGATATTTACAAAGAGAAAACAGACAATAACAAAGAACTAAACAACAGATACTACTGAATATATAAGTAACATAAACTTCCTTTCCTATTATTATTTCCAAAATAAGAAAGCCAGCCACCTCGTTGCTATTATTAGGCATCTTTATCACTCTTTCAATGTATTCTCTCGCCTTATCATGACGGCCAAGGTGCCATAAAAACAAGCCCGCATGGTATAAAGCTTTCTGATCAGCTCCTTTACGTTGTTCCTTCACTCTGGCATCTGATTCCAGAATAGCTTCTCTATCTGGAATAGGAAAATAATATTAAATGAAAATTAAAATCTAGCATGTGTTTATTATAGGTCAGATGATTAACACCCCTGCCCCAACCCTTTCAGAAGTTTTCATGAAGTAGCCATGATACAGAAACAAATGATGTATCAAGACATACAGGCATTGTGAGCTTCAGCCTAGATTTTCACCAAGTCCCTAAAAGGCCATCAGTAAGCTGTGACACTGTTTGCACAATGCTGGTTATTGCTAGATCTCAGCTCAAATCATTTTATAAGAAGGACTTTGGTTGGCTTTCAAGAAGAATGTATACCAACAATCTAGATTTCCTGGGAATATTTCCAGGCACCCAGGGCTCTTCTAAAGCTCAAGTTCACTGTGGTGGAAAGTAGAGTCAGCCCTCAGATTCTCTAAACAATATTTATGTCTCCATCTTTTCAGTGTCCCGGAAATCACATATCCTAACGGAACCAGTATTGTGAGAATAATCAATTAAATGAAAACTTGATTCTAAGAAGAAATCTCTTCCTTCCTTCCTTTCTTCCTTCCTACTGACTATAATGCTCCTATGCAAGTCCTTTGCTCCAGCTAATCACACTTCTACTGTTCACAGAGAAAAGCAATCCATAAGAGAATCCAATGCTAAGCTACTTCTATGTATTTGCTGACCCATTTCTCCTGTCTGGTCAATATTCTTCATATTCAAATTCTACATTTCCTTCAAAGACCAGGTTTAGTTCCAATCTTTCACAAAGTTTTCCCAGCCTACTCTAATGCAGTAATAGTACACATATCAATTTCAATTAATATAGGCTCATTATCATTTTATTTAATAGTAACATTGGAATTGAATGTTTGTTGTTTTTGTATTTTATTTTCTCAACAAAATTACAAACTTGATATCATGGATCATTTACTAAAATTCTTTCTATGTGTTCTAAATATATTTGGTTGAGTCCTTTGCAGAAAGTGAACACATAATTGTTAATTTGCCTTAATTTTTAAAATTTATTTATTTATTTTTGTTTTTTTATTTTTTGAGACAAGGTCTCACCATGTAGCCAGGCTGGCCTTCAACTCAGATGGATTAAGGAAACTTCAGCTATTCACTGTTTAAATACTGTACCTGGATTAGGACTCATTTTATGAGCATATATCACTGCAATCAGAGAACATAGTGATATATCTTGTTTATTTTTAATAGCCTCAAATTCCCGAAGAGCTTCTTGAATTTTACCTGAAAAATCAAGATTATCAAGATTATAAGGTGGAAAATTATTCTTGGCACAAAGCAAGCATTTAGAATGTACGGATCTCATTTAATAATTAGTACCTACCTTCCATTAATGTACCATAGGCATGATAAAACCTGAAGACTGGATCATTGCCATACCTCTTCATTCCTTCACTGGCAACAAGTAACACATGATGGAAATACCGTTCTTGACAATAGTAATTAATCAATGTCTAAATGGAAATAATGGCTAAATGTTAAAAGAGATTCTGGTGTTTTGAAACACTTTAAGAAGGAGATATCAATTTAAAATCTTGAATAATCTAAAACTTAACTAATGGGATTTTACACTAGCATTCAATACTAAGGATTGCTGAACAGAAGGAACACAAAATTGCTGAAATAACTCTGTTTTCTAATAATTTCAATCTTCTTCCAAAACTTTTTTGTTAACAGCACTGGAATCAGACTACTTTCATCTCTTCCTTTTTATTTACCCACATTTTCTTAAAGGTTTTAGAAACTAGGAATTTAAAAAAAGATGAGGCTTCCATTGCCAGATTGTAGATTTCTTTTTAAATATCTTCTTCTGAAAGTAATCTGTCATTATAGTATTACAAAGTAATGACAAATTGAACAGCAATCTACTGTCAAATGTTATCCTACTTGTTCTATGTTTGAGTTCGCTAAGAAAGTCATCAGTAAGAATACAGTAAATGAGCTAAGCTACTTTTCAGTGCACATGACTACCTTTAAGCTTTTTTTCAAAATCATATTATTTAATTTATCAGACAAAACTATGAGGAGATACTGAGTTCTAATTAATTGGGAAACTAATCATTTTTCTCAGAATCCTATCTAAGGCTTAGCGGATGACCTAATTAACAAGGAAGTCACTCTTTACCATTCCTGACACACCTGGGTCCCCTCCATAACAGTATGGGCCTGCATGAGTGAGGAAATATGCAGCACTTGTTGACAGAATTAAAATGTAGGGAAGTGTACACAGCTCTAGTTTAGGGTCTCTGTTTCTGGAAAGCCACGTCCTCCTCCTTCCATAGATCACAGCCAGGCAAACGCTCTGTTAACTGTAGTCTGCTTCCCTCCTGCAGTTACTGCTCTCTATTCTCCCCCTTAGCCATGTTTCTGGAAAGTGTGATCTACACTCCACCTCCCAGGCACCCGCAGCGCGTCTCAGGCAAACTGTCTGCAATTTGCCCCAGTGCCCCATTTCCTAAGGTCACAGGTGACCTTTTAGTTTGCCACAACTAAGGATATTTTTAATTATCCCGTATTTAGTATCACTCAGCACCTATAATCCTCCTGAATGATAGCAGCATGGTATTGCAAAAAGAATAAGTAAAAGGTGAAAGATGTGGTTTCCAATCTTTGGTGCTTAACACTTTAGTTTGCTCACTTGTAAAATGCTATTTACTGGTGGTTGCAGAGATTAAGATATCACAGGGTAAAAGCACTACTCTGAAAAAAGTTTCACTGAACCCCATATGTTGAAGAAATACAAAAGTTATGTCTGACCAAGACCACTAATCTAAGCTGGAGATCCATTTTCATTTGCTATCTGCTGTCTAAACCAGCAACTGAGTCATGATCCTCCCTTCTCATCTGCCCAATATTCCTAAGTCTAAACAGTCATTAGGTTCTTCTATTTCTCTAATCAAACTACCACAATTCATAATTATCGCCACTGCCATGGTTCAGGTACAACTGTTTGGCTCAACAAATATTCACTGTCTACCTACTAGTGCCAAGCCACTGGGCTAGCTACTAAGGACATAAAATGACTAAGAAATGGTCTCTGGCCCCAAAATGCTTACATTTTTCAGATGACACTGTAATCTAAAGATTAAACTATAACGTAGTGTCAGACAGGCAGCTAGAAATTGCTTTAGAAATGTACAATAATAATAAGACAGTTTTGGTAACTGAGGTCGGGGTGAGGGGTGCACAGAAGAATAAAATTAAGGGAAAGATTACTGGGGAGGACCATAGAGCTGACACTGAAATTGCAAATCTACTATGTAAGTCTCCACACACATACAACATTTCCTATTTCCCTTTCATTAATTTGGACAAAAGTACAGGAGTTAGCAAGGAAGAGAAATAGCAAGAACACAGAGACAAGAAATCAGCCATAGAACAGGCACATTACAAGTGGTGACAGGCAGGGCTAAAAGCCATTCTGTATCTCAGGGCAGGGGTTAGAAAACTACAGTGGGCCGTATCTGGTTTGCTGTCTGTTTTTCTGATGGCCAGTGAACCAAGAATGGTGTGTCAGTCAGCTTTTTGTTCCTGTGACAAAACAGCTAAGAAAAACAACTTGCAAGGATGAAAAACTTGATTATGGCTCATAGTTTCAGAGGTTTTGGTTAATTGCCAAGACTTGGCTTTGTTGCTTCTGGGCTAGTGTGGTGAGGCAGAACATCTTCCTTAAAGTGGACAAGAAGCAGAGAGAGGGGAAGTGGCTGGAGACAAAATATACCCTTCCAGATAAAGCACCCAGGGACCTACCTTCTACAATCAGCCCCCACCTGCTAACAGCCCATTCAGCTATGAATCATCAGTGGATTAATTCATAATCCAGTCACCTTCTAAAAGCCCCATCTCTGAACACAAGACCCTTCTGGGAGACATTTTTTGTTTTTCTTTTGCAGCGCTGGGTACTGAACCCAAGAGCTCACACATGCTAGGCAAGCATTCTATCACTGAGCTACATTCCCAGCTCTTTTTTAAACTTTATTTTTAAGACAAGGCTTCACTAAGTTGCCCAGATTGTCTTCAATTTGTGATCCTCCAATCTTCAGCCTCTCAAGGACCTGGGATTACAGGTATGTGCCACCTCATCTAACTGGAATATACTTTTGATCCACACTATAACCAATAGTTTTCACATTTTCAAATAGTTGAGGGGGAAAGGGAGTGTTTCATAAAGTCCAATTTCTGTGCTTATAAATAAAACTTTATTGGAATACAGCCATGCTCACTGAAATATTACCCAGGACTGTTTTCTAGCTACAGTGTAGATGTGACAGAGACTCATGGCCCACAATGCCTAAAATATGTACTATCTGGAGCCCTGTAGATAAAGTTTGCCATTTCCTGTGCTACAGCCTTAAGTAAAACAGAGTCTTAGATGATGAAGTTGGAAAGAAAGTTAGGATCAATAAGAGCCTCGGATATTATGGACCTGATCTAGTCTAAGTGATGAGGAGCTACATAAGATTTTTAGCTTTTAAAGTGTTTTTATTAAAGAGCTCGTTTGAGTAGCAGTCTGAAGAATACATTTTTGGAGATGAAAAATGTAAAGAGGCCAAAACATTTCCATCTTCCCTAACCTCCTTCAAGGAGAAATTGCTGTCCATCCACTCAGCACCATCCCAGGGGATAGTTCTATCTGCTTATAGTCTCACACCTTCTATTCCAATGCAACCTCAAAGATCGGAAGAGTTTTTCTTAGTTTTGTTGTTGCAGAATTCTCAGTGCTTAAAGCCGTGCCGGACACATACAGGATTCAATAAATTTCCATTGAATGAATTAAGTTTTTTCTCCGGCATTCAATTGCACAATCTGTGAATCCCTTCCGCTCATTGCTAGCTCCAGCGTCTAAAGGACCAGACAGGTGAACTCCATGAACAATGGCTGATGAGTTCATCAGTGAACGAACGCCAAGACCATCATCAGAAAAGGATAGTTATTTTCGAGCCCCATGTCTTTGCCTAGATCGTTTCTGACTATCATTAGACATCTGCTGAGTGGATGATTCCTGGAGTAAAAGAGAAGACCATCGCCCTAAATAAAGTCCCCCCGTGTTGGAGCCTCCGATCTTTGGTGGGTTTCACAGAGACTCTCCGGGCTCTTTCCACTGTCCAGTGGGGGGAAGAGGACACACCTCGTTCTACGTCCTCACAAATCGCGCCCTGAGGTGCAGTGTCCTACGCTGCTCCCCCTTCCCGGCAGATGCGTCACAGAGTAGACGTCCAGGCCACTCACAGGCGGGGACCAGTTCAGCAGCTGCGCGCCGGATGGGAGCCTCGGCCCCCCGAGACCAGGCACACACAGGGTCCGCGGGCTCTGCCATGTCCCTGGCCCAGCGCCAGCCCACAGAGCAGCCCCGGGCTACCGCCCGCTCACCTTCAGCCCCTTCGAGTCCATGGCTGCCCGAGGCCGAGGGTCGTACCCGCAGTCGCCCGTAGAAGGCCTGGGACTCAGAGCCCAGTGCAAGGCCCAAAGCCCGCTCGGGGTCCAGGCGCGCGGGAGGGGCGGGGCGGGGCGGGGCTGAACCACCATTGGCTGCCAGCGGGAGGGGGCGGGCCCTTGCGGCCGAGATTGCGAGGGTCGCGGAGCAGGCGCAGGGGGACAGCAGGAAGGGCTGCGAGGGCCTCCCCGGAGGACGGCAGCCGGAGAGGGGCCCACCGCTTCGTGGTGGAGCTGGAAACGCTTTCCGATCCGGAACCAGTCCAGGGCGCAGCAAGGGTGGGCGGACCCGAGGGTGTGGAATTAAGGGATTAAAAACAAACGGGGAAGAAATAGTTAGAAGCACAAGTCTCGTTCCCATCACTGGCAACAAAGACTCCATTTTCTGAAGGTTGAGAGAAGCCGATTCCGCAGTGCCGCTGGTGCAGTTCCGACCCCCGCGGGGAAAAGCTTTGCCTTTTCGCGGGCAGTAGTCGGAGTGTGGCCACGAGGTGGCGCAGGAAAAACCCACGAGTTCTGTGAACTGCTCGGAGCTTCTCGGGCTCATTTTTAAATCTTTGCAGGCAATGCTGCAATCCTGATTTGCGATTAGAGTGCGTATTAGGTTAGCTCATTTTCACCAGCCCTGATAATGAGAAGGACAAGTGAGGTAAACAAGTTTGTGTGTGTAATGATACTGCTAATTTTCAACTGAATAAAAATTCGTTCCTATGCACACTTTTATGTTTGTACCCATCAGGCAACTGTCAGCTGTGTAAATTCCTTCAGTTCAAATCATTAAATTGTAGTAGGCTAAGAGAGCTTCTATTTCTGCTTGAGGAGACTTTTAAAAATATTGTATAAGGTGTGAGGTTTAGATGACAGTAAAACCATTTACATGAATTCCAAATTTCAGTCTTACAGTTAGTTATCTTTAGGTGAAATGATAGTTATCTTTTTCAGATTTAAAATTTCTTAAGGAGTTGCTATTATTTGTGTCTACCTCCCCATCCCCCAGGTCTATGCATTGAAGGCTTGGTCCCCAACCTGTGGCGCTATTGGAGATGGTGGAACCTTACTTCCTAGTTAAAGAAGGTGATTGGGGTGTGCCTTTGAAAGGCACATGGGGACCCTAGACCTTCTGCTCTCTGTCTTTGCTTCTTGGTCACCATGAGGTAAACAGGCCTCTTCCTCTATCCCACCATGATTTTATGTGCTACCACAGGCCCAAAGCAATGGGGCCAAGTGACAATGGGCTGAAACCTCTGAGACAGTGAGCCAAAACAAACTTTGCCTCCTTATAAATTGTTTAGATCAAATATTTGTCACAGCAATCAAAATCTGACTCACACAGCAGTCTGTGAATTCACTTTTACCTGAGAAAGGGTATCTACCATCCCAGGATTTAAAGTCCATTCCACCAAATGGGGCACATATTTTCATGAGGATTGCTTTCAACAATCATAGTCCAGCTATGGAACATAGGTGCTGATGGGAACGTTTGTGCTGATGGGAAACTGGTAATATGTACTGGTATGATTTTCAAAAGTGTGGATGAATCTGCATTTGGTATGCAGTGGAGAATATACCATAAACCAGAGATGCTCAACAAAGTGTGGGATCATGAACTGTAAACTCTTGGTTCTAAGGGAAAATTTTTCTCAAAGAAAATATCAAAGGATCATAAAGTTAAAAGAATAAATGATCAGTCTACCTTTCTGAAGTCTTTAAAGCCTAAACTCGGGCTAAGTCTGACTACTGGAAGACTGCACACAGGACCATATTGATTTAGGGCCTTGTAGAATTTTCATTATTAAATTTTGTTCTGAGGTTAAATCACTTAGCATGAAACACCATACCTGGCCCTTCACATATTTGTTGGATTCTTTTGGGATTTACTTTGGGAGTGATAGTGACTTGGTGTTTCTTCACACAGTCTCAAGAGAGAAATTTCTGAAAACTACCATCTTCCTTGAAAAACTGGTATATTCTTTAGCACAAAAATTTTCATTGGCTCACTCTTGTTAGCTACTAAGTTTTGAGTCTCAAATCCATGACTCTTCATTTTATTGTCTTGTTAAGCCTTATCTCCTACTTGACACTTCACGGACAACTTCCCCCTTAAAGGAGCCTTTATTCCAGACAAATGGGGCAACTATTTCTTCTTTCAGGAATCCTTTCTCCTCCTTTGCTCCAAACTCTTTCATCACCTGACAAAAATCTATTTCTTCTTCAGAATTTATTTCAAATCCTGCTCTCCATGAAGCCTTTGAGGATCACCATAATTGGGTGTGAAAGAGAACATGGCATAGTGGCAGGAATGAATGTGGTCTTCCATGCTGGGTGTGGTGGCCCAGTCCTATAATCCCAGCTGAGGGGGTCTGAGGCTGGAGGATTGAAACTGAGAGCCCCCTGCAGCCCTTTCCAGCTAAAAGAGAGAGACCACCACTCTTTCAGTACCCATAAAGATTTATGCGACTTATGTCTGTTGGGGTAATGATGCAGGATGTAGGGCGTGGCTAAACTGGCTGGAGAATTAGATGGGACCTGTCAATTGCAAGGTCCCAGGGCAGACCTGGATGTAGGCTTCTCAAAGGTTCCCAGGAGATGCAGAGGGCAAAGACCAGACACCAGGAGGATCCCACTACCATTACTCCTCACAGTAGTAACTCTCTCTGTGCCTAGATGCAGGCTGCACTTTTATTTTTGCTTTTATACTTTCCTTTGTTAGTTCTGCCTAAGTTTGCTCTGCAGAGCTATTTTTTCCCTTCACCCCTCACTTTTCAAATAAACTTTTGGAACCATAAAAAAAGAAAAAGAGAAAACAAAAGAAAGTAAGTAAGTGTGGGCCCAGCCTGTGCAAATAGCAATTTAGAGAATCCTTGTCTCTCTCTCTCTCTCTCTC